TATGGTGAGCAGGCAAATGCATGATCTTGATAAAAGATATTGGCAAGTTGTGAAATGGTTTCTACGGTATATTTGAGGTACTGTAGATATTGGTTTGGTTTTGAGCGGGATAATGATCTTAGTCGGTTTGTTGTTAGTTATGTATGATTCTGATTACATCAGTGATTTGGATAAGCGTCATTCAACAATTGGTTATTTGTTTACAGTTGCTAAAGGACTAGTGAGTAAGAAGTCTACTCTACAGTCTACAGTTGCTCTGTCAACCACAGAAGTAGAGTACATAACTATTTCAAAGGCTGCAAAAGAAGGAATTTGGCTTCAAAGGTTGCTTGATAACTTGGGAACTGTTTTGAAACACATTAGTGTGTATTGTGATAGCTAGAGTGCTATTCATTTGGCCAAGAACCAAGATTATCATGCACGTTCGAAACACATCGATAGTCGGTTTCACTTTGTGCTGGATTATATTGAAAACGGGAGATGATTCTTCAGAAGATTGGAATGGAAGATAAATCCTGCAAATATGTTGATAAAGTAGTGACAAGGGTCAAGTTCACTCATTGTTTGAGCTTGATCAACATCCTGCAAGTTTGATTGCGCCGTTTGGTACATTCGAAGGTATTGCAAAATTTATCGGAAGAATATAAGAAACTATTTGAAAGATAATCTCATCAAGGTGGAGTTGAATTGTGTTTTTCGCCAAGGTGGAGATTGTTGTAAAATTGGCTCAAACACTTAAAATAGTGGTTTGTGCTTATATCCCACAATGTTGAGTTAACAAAAGGCTAAAGCTTTTGTTAGCTATATATAGGGATGTTAGGCTTTGGTTTGAGTATCCAAATCCATTTTTGGATCCCCACATGTGTGGAAGTTTGTTGGACTCTTGTTTCTATGAATAAACTCTTTATAATAAAGAGTTTGAATCATATAAAAAGTCATTTAGAGAAGATGCTCTTATAATTTATAAAGTGAAGTTGTTATCCTTCTACAATGTTAAATAACTTTAACACTAACAAAAAACCTAACACTTGATTGGAACTTTTATGAAGGTTTTGTAACTTATATACTTAGTTTGTTATTGAAACTGTACCTTAATTGATAATATCTTATTTTATTGTATTATTAGTATTATTATATAGCTTTGATTTTATGTTGTAACTTTGAGATAGTATAACTCTGCCTGCTAATTATTAGTCTCATTCCAAAAGTACAGATAACAAGTGTAAACTTCGTTGATCTTGTTATCAGAAACTGTAAATGTTACGGGGATAATTTGGCAAAGTCCTCTTTAAAACAGGTGTAAAGATCACAAAGCTTACCACAAAACTCCAAATAAGTGCATCTAGTACCAACTTGTATTTCGGACCTACTCGTTTAAATGGGGATGGTTGTAATGTAAGACCCTTAAGGACAATAGTTGGTTTGACAAATTTGTAAAAGTGAAATCATAGCCACCGTCCCATCATATGAAAGTCTACAATTATACATTAAAAGAGAATGCATTATTCATGATTCATTTACAAAATCTGGGACTTGAAACTTTTCATCTAAAAGGGAGAAACATTCTTCTCTCATTCTCTTAGATTTATTAAGATTGACTTAAGCGTCAGTCAGGACCATGCAAATGAGCAAACTACAAGAAGTTTCCAATGGCCAAGATGTGACACGTGACAACAGGGCAAGGTTGACAATCCAATAAAACCATCTGTTCTTGCTGCAAAAACGCAAGTGACAATGCATCTGTACACTTAGATCAAATGCAATTAACTTTGCTTGAAACAACTGATTAAATGTTCATACAACAAATGTAACACCAGACTGAAAGTTAACTTTTTCAAAGATCTAACTAATTTAGTTGTTTTTTTTTTTTTTTTTTTTTTTATTATAGTAAAATTTTAATTACTATGTAAACATAATGTAATAAAATAGCAACAATGCTACAGACACCGGGGTTTTTACACCGAAATTTCGTACCGGCTTACGTGTCCCCTGACTCAGACTATTCAACGTATTTGATGTTATTAAATTTTTTCTAGTGAACGGTCGTCCATACTTACATGGACGGGGGTCTATTTACTATGGACAGACGTTCATATGTTAATGAATGCCCGTCCCTTAATTTTGGATGGGCACCCACAAATAAGGGACGCCCGTCCTTTTTTCAAAATATAAAAATTTTAAAAAAAATCTAAGATGGCCATCCATATGGAATGGACGTCCGTCCATTGTGTAAGGATGGCCGTCCATATGTAATAGACGCCCGTCCATAAGGAATGGATGACCGTCCTTTATTTTTGGACGGACATCCCTACTCTAATTAAAAAACGTTTATGTTAAAAAAAATTCGGGAAAGTGTTTCAAAACACAAATCAGCCGCGGTCTTCTTCTTCTTCTTCCATCTGCGCTCTGGTTCATCGTCTTCTTCATCTCATCTGTGCTCTGGTTCATCGTCTTCTTCATCTCATTTGTGCTCTGGTTCTTGGTCTTCCTCATCTCATCTGCGCTGTTGTTCTTGGTCTTCCTCCTCCCATCTGCGCTGTCAGATGGATAAGTGTACATACCTTTAAAGCATGTGAGAAACTTGATTGGATGACTGAATTTCGGGCAATCTCACATAAGTCACATGAACTCAACTTCCACACCTGTAAGGAAAGGGCTTGATCATTATGTATTTAAGATCTAGATGTTGTAAAATGGTGAGAGGAGAGAGAGAGAAGAGAAGCAGAGAGCTCACAGAAGCAGCTATGCTATATTCTTCCACCAAAGGTTCTTTAGTTAGGTGAATTTGAAGGCCACCCTTACAACCATCGTATTCCAGATGGTATGACCCTAACGCTCGATGCGATTATCACGCACCAACTCTTTGCCATTAGAAAACGCAGTTAAATCGTCCATTATCTGCTTCTTGAGTTCAGGTTCAAGTGCTGAGGTTTGGAAAGTAGAAGGGTGACGAAATGGAACAGAAACCCACCCTGACTCGCAGGAGGCATGGCCATTGTTAGTAAAGAGTCTTCTCTCACGAGAGACACGCTCAAAGTCTTCAACACGTGAAGTAACGTGATGAAGATAGGGAGATAAAAGAGTTTGGCGAATACTGTTTTATCAGCTATGGCGCTTCATTATCCACCCGAGAAACTGCATGTTTATCTTTCAGACAATGGAGGTGCTTCAATAACTTTGACTGGCATGAAGGAAGCTTTTAAGTTTGCAAGGTCTTGGCTTCCATTTTGTAAGAAGTATGTAATCAAAACTAGATGTCCAAAAGTATGGAATATCAGTATGCTATTCTGGAAGGGCTGAGTTCATGGAAGAAAGTAAAAAATTAAGGTTTGGACTGGCGTCCAAATTGTTTTGTTTTAAAAAAAAAACAATGGATGCCCGTCCATAAAATATGGACGGGCATCCATCTTTATGGACGGCCGTTCATTGTTTTTTTTTTAAAACAAAACAATTTTTTATGGACGGTCGTCCATTCCACTATGAATGATCGTTCAGGATGTATGGACGGCCGTCCAAATCGTTCGATGATCATCCATTTATGTCAGTATTCAATCGTTCAACATGGCGGCCTTCACGTGTTTCGGTGCAATTCTTCGGTGGATATAGCATTTTTGATAAAATAGTTGTCATTGCTTTTTATATCTTTATTTTATTTTGATTTTCATAATTTGTAATAACGTAGTTATCATGCATGTAAAAATATAAAATTAACTTTATAAGAATATCTGTTAAATCCAATACTTATAATCAAATGAAGAAAAAGATAAAATAAATATATTGACCGGATTTGTTAAGTTAGAGGATGTTTTTGTTAATTAAAAACAAAAGTGTCTTTTGCCTAATAATAGATCATAACTATATAAAGGGAGTTTGGTTCAGGAAATGTTGTATTATTAAGAATGTTATATTAATAGGAAGATATATTACCTTTAAACATTATTGAGAATGTTACATTAATTATATTTAATTAGATTGAAATAAATTGATTGGTATAAATAATTAATATATTTGATTAAGAGAAATAAAAAAATCATAAAAGAAGTCTTTTACTGAATTGGCATTTTTTTTTTAATATTATTATTATTATTATATTATATTATTAATAATATTAATTAAGAATAAAATTGTAATAGTATTAAGATTACCAATTAATTTGAGATTATATGAGAAATTGATGGAAATCAGATTAATTTCTGTATAATTTATAATAATTATTATTGGCATTAAAAATTATCAAAATTTTTTATTATTGGATAACCAAACATAATAATGGCATTAGGCACTACCGCACGACTACTTCCCATAAATTCCTCCACCGACTTGTGAGCTGGGTCCCCCCATGTGTCCATTTTCTTGTTTTTGACTTCTTGCGTCGGCGCTGAAAGAAAAAGAATCCTCATGCGCTTTGCATTTACGCTGTCCTCTTCTTATAAATAACCACCCGCAACTTAAAAGCTTATGGAAAATAATAGGGGCACAGGAAATAATGTATCGAATTTGTATATCGATTGGTGTGATATAATTTTGATTATTTATTAATTATAATATAATATTAATTGATAATTAAGATTAAGTCATATTATTGCGATATACAGATTCAATACATTATTTTCGATAATTATAACATTACTCAAAGCTTATATATACAAGAGTAAGAAATCCAAAAGATTGAAAGAAGAAAGAGAAAGGGAGCAGGCGGCGATCTTATATGGTGATTATTAAATTCTCTTAATCAATGTTCATTGAATCTTTGATAGAACTATTAGGGTTTTCTTCTTCTTGTTTTCCTACTCTCATATAGTTGAAATCCTGGTAATATATCCGCTGATCATTCTTCTCTACGTTATCTTCTATAGTATGTTATTTCTGACCTCTTAACATAAAGAAAAAACAAAAAATATGAACTTTGTGTTTCGAATAATTTAGAGGGATGTCATGAATTTGAAGATCTCTTCTTGTTTAGTTGGCTCTGAATTATTTTTTACTCTTGACGAGATCAGGTTCCAAGGATCAATTAATACTGTCCTCAAAGATGTCTTCCCCTAACGGAACCTTTTCACGTGCTGAAGCATCTGTATTTTCCGTTATCAATGGCAGGGTATGTTTTATTCTTAGGCTTATCTTAAATCAAAATCAGGATTAGAAGTTTTGGTTGTTTGTTTTTTTTATCAAAATCAAATTGTCACTAATTTTTTTTAAAATTTCACTATATAGAAGAAGTGGAATCTAAAATCCGTGAACTTTTTATAAACACATAAACATGATGACCTAAAATGCCTAAATATAATCCCAAAAAATTGACTTAATGGTCAAAGAGGTTTGATCACTTCTTTGAGTTTATAGGTTCAAACATTGGGGTCACATAACAAAATAACATGGTTTATCTAGTAATTTGACTTGTAGAATGTTTAATAAATCATCAACACAAATCCAACCGTGAAAAAGCTAGATCTTTGGCCGTGATCCAACAGTCAGATTGGCATGGATCTGGCCATTTCCATCTTTCGATGTGGCCGAAAATAGCCAAATTGGCGCACGGCCGGCCAAATCCCGTCAGTTGTAGGCCAATATGGCGATTACCATCAACGGCCGGTGGTGGTCTTGGGTGACTAGGGGTATTTTGTTAACTTTTAAACTTTTTTTGTGGCTAAGGTGTTTTAGCTAAATTATCAAATGTAGGGGGTTTAGGTAATGATTATTTGATAGACATTTGAGGGCAATTGTGTCCGAAATGGTATTTAGTTAATGGCAAAATAGATATAAAAATCAGATTACCTCGGTAATATTTTAATAACACCTCATAATCTAATTATCTCTTATATTCTCAATAGTAAATATTATTTGTAACAAAAGATTATCATAATATTTTATTATTTGCAAACCAAACAAGAAAATCTTGAAAATTAAACGAAGATTACTGAAGTAATCTTATATGACCCCAAACCAAACACACCCGTGTATGGGGGTGTTTGTCTAAGCTTACAAACTAGCTTATAAGCTGTAAAATTAAGCTGACCTGTTTGTTTATAACTTTTTTGAGCTTATAAGTTGAACTTATAAGCCAAAAAAAATAAGTTGGGAGAGGTACTTTTTTCTTTTTGCTTATAAGCACTCTTTATAAGCTAGTTTGAAAGTATATTACCATTATCCTTGTTTAATTTAAAATTTCATAGTATACCTTTTAATGTAGTACCATTTTTAGTCATTTTATAATAAAATGTAACTTATAAAACACATTTTACCAAACACGTCACTACTTATCATCACTTATAAGTACTTTACCAAATACGTAATTCTTAAAATTTAAATGCTTATAAGCTAAATCACTTATAGCTTATAAGCTAATTTTCATAAGTTAGACAAAATACCTATTTTTATATTTATATAAGAATATTTTTTTTATATATATATATTTTATTTTATATATATATATAGAGAGAGAGAGAGAGAGAGGAGAGAGAGAGAGAGAGAGAGAGAGAGTTTCTTTTAAAATGTTATTAGAAGTACTATTTAAGAATTGACTTTTAAAGGACACTATTTTTTCAAAAATTCTAAATTAGAAGAAACTTAACTTGATTTCCTGAAATGACTTAAAGAGGGGTTGGTTCAGGAATGTTGATATATGGGAATGTTGGATTACTGGAAAGAGATTACCTTGGAAGATCACTGAGAGTCTTTAGGAAAATGTGTGGTTAGTTGGTGGGTATGTATATTATTATGTTTGGTTATGGGAAATAAATTGGTGGGTATGTATTTAAATTACTAAATTGTCCCCGTTTTAAATATTAATATAATATTATTTTTATTATTAATTTTTGAATAATTCTTTTAAACCTCATGTTTCAGATTTAGCTAAAACACCCCGCTTATATAAAACTTTAATTATGACAAAATCACCCCTTAACCTCATCGTTGCCACCTGCCACCACCGCGAACCATCGTCGGATGTCTCCGAAAGTCCGCGTGAGTACCTCACTCTGACCAAGAGGCTCCGCTATGGCCGTTTCTGGCCATATTGATGGCCGAAAATGGCCATATCAGGCCAGATCGATGGAACTGGTCGTTAACGGCCAGATCCCTGGCCATTAACGACTAGGTCTGGGCCAATGGCCAAAATAGATATGGTCATTTGCGGCCAAATCTGGCTTGATATGGCCGAAAACGGCCATATCGAAGCCTCCCACGGAATTTCGTTCATTTTCAGGGACTCCGACGATTTTTCGGCGGCGGTCCGTGGTGGTTGGCTGCTACCGGCAGTGGTGGCTGGGTGAGTGGTGGTCTGTAAATTATTTTAAATATAAGGGTATTATTGTCCAAAATTTTAATTAACAAGGGTAAAATTAAAATAGAATATTAATGTAAATTTGTTTTAAAGTAGGGGTATTATTGTCTAAAATTTTTATTAATAAGGGATAAAATTGTAACAAAAAAAATAACTTTGGTAATCTCAGAATACCTATGAAAATGGAGGTAATCAGATTACCTCTAATATTACTAATAGTAATCACTATTGATATTTAAAGATTACCGGTATTTTATATTACTTGACAACCAAACATGGTAATCAAGTAATATAAGATAACATAACCCCAGTAATTCCACTTAACCCCTAACCAAACGCCCTCAAAGGCCTATGTATACTGCAATTATGATGTCATTTTTCCCAAAAAAAAATATTATATGTATAATTATATAAGTTAAAAAATTAAAAGCAATATATTAAAAAAAATTCAAAACTAAAATGCAAAATACAATAAAAAATATCTTTTAACTTATTTTATTTATGAATTTCATTGAAATGAAAGTTGTGTTTTTGTAAAATTACATGAATACCCTTAATAAAGTTAAAGTTATTTTTGTTTATTGTTAAGTGTCCTCTAGTTGTCAGTTTTATAAAAAAAAGTGTCCTCCAAGAAATTTCTCAAAATAGTGTCCTCTAATATATTTATGAAAAGAAAAGTGTCCTCGAAAAATAGTACTATATATATATATATATATATTTTTTTTTCTCCTTACAAAATCCACCCAACCCTCGCCGTATCTGGCCAGATGAGCGCTGTTATGAGATCGGGTCTGGCCTCGCGGCGGTCATCCATCATCACCGCGAGCCTAATCCAACCTCGCATCGCTCAATTTTTGGATGTGCAAGGCAAAGACACATTTTCATATGTTTAATTAATTGATCTAAGGTAGCCTACATTTGCAGCCTCTCCTCGTATTAGGAATTTTGTTGTATCAATCTAATATTATTTCTTATTACTTATATACCTGATCATCACAATCACTTGTTTGTATGTTAAAAGGAAATTACTGAGATCCGAGAATATGCTTGCTTCGAACCTACCCTAAATGATGCCACTGAGACGGTGAATCCAGATGTTGGGAGGAAATCATTATCTACCAAGCGAAGAAAGTTGAAGTCAAAGGTTTGGGAGGAATTCACAAAGGATAAAGGAGAAGATGGAAAGGAATGGGCTATATGTAAACACTGTGAGAAGAAGCTTGTAGGTTCAAGTAAAAGTGGAACCACACATTTGAAAAATCATCTTAAAAGCTGTCGCCGAAAAACAAATCCAGATGGAGATACAGATAAGTCAAGTGAAACAAGTAATTACAGATTAAGTTCTTCAAGTGTCGTCAGAGAAAAAACTTTGAACGATCAAGAATTGAATGACTCAGATATCACACGAATGTTTATTAAGCATTGTTGGGGTACACCACAGAACTCCATAAAAGCTAGTATTCTTAATGTCCTCAAAGAAGAGAAGGAGAATCTTCGCAGATGTTTTGGGAAACAAAAATGTCGTTTTAATTTAAAAATTGAGTTGTTTGATAAGGACTATCGTTTGACGGTGGTCCATTTTATTGATGATAGCTGGGAATTGAAGAAGAAGGCTATTCATTTCCGATGTGCAAAAGACGATAGGGATTTCTTTGAAACTCTTAAAGGTTCTCTATCGGACGATTGGAAAATTGACAACAATATATGCTCTATGGTTAGAGGCATTGGCCAAGATAAGGAAGTTACTTCAGAGATAAACAGCTGGTTTAGTAGACAAGGTTCACTTCCTTTTGCTGGGCAATTATTTGCTGTTGATTGCTTAGTGGATATTCTAAAAGGTTACATTTGGTTTGGAAACATGTGGGGATTTGACTTGGCAACCAGGATGGGGCACACTCTTGATTATATCTGCAAGACTTCGTCAAATAAGGTAAAGTTTCAAATGGCAATAGATAAAGCCAAGTCCATGGGCAAGAAAGTGACTTCTCAAGGCCTTCCTCCAAAGTCAATAATTGATAAATTTGAATTGCTTGAGATTGCAATGGGATATAAAGAAGCTTTTTCTGAGCTAGAGCAGATGGATCCAGCTTTTAAGTTAATCAGTTTAAGAAAAGAGGAATGGGGTATGGCAACAGTCATGTACGAGTGCTGGGAAGTGTTAAATAATACCAATTGCAGCTTCAATGAGAACAAATGTGTTACTGCAAATGTTTATTTTGCTAAGGTTTGTGACATATTTATGAAATTGCTTCAATGGGAAAAAAGTGAGTTTTGGTTTGTTCACGACGTGGGATCTTATATGAGAGAGGAATTTGTGGAAAAATATTGGAACAATTGTATATTGGTTCTAATAATTGCTGTAATTCTTGACCCACGGTTTAAGATGGATACTGTTGAGCGTTGGTTCAAGAAGATTTATGGTAGCGACACTGATGCACAACTCAAGAAAATAATTGATGAGGTAACCAATGTCTTCCATAAATACGAAGAAAGCTGTAGCGATCCAGAGAGTCTCTCAACTTCATTCAAAATGCTAGACTGCTATGGGATGCGCTGCACATCTTCACACCTTGTTGATGAAATTGAGTCCCCAGAATCTGAGCTTGATCGGTATCTGAAAGATTCTAAATTTCCTTTATTTGAAGAGTTCGACATTCTTTCTTGGTGGCGTACCAATTCTCCAACTTATCCCACACTTGCAAGGATGGCACGCGATTTCTTGGCAATACCTATTTTTCCTACCCTTTTAGATTCTTCTTTGAAAACTGAAATTCAAAATATCATTGAAACTGATGGCATGGATGATGACCTCATAAACAATTTGGTATGTATCAAAAGTTGGTTGTAGTTCTAACATCATTTTTGGAATTATTGATTTTATTTCAGTTTGAAAAACATTATTATCATTTATTTTGCTTTCATTGTCACCATGATAGATAGTGTATGAGGCTCGCAAATATCGCTTTAGGCCATGTAAGGTTCTTTACAGAATTCATGCTGAATGAGGTTATGAAGCTTCAATAAAACAATGTGGTTGTGACACAACAGGTGAGCAAAAGTAGGATGAGAGTAAAGCTTCAATCCACGAGTCACTTGTCTCAGGCTCACAAACACATCTAGCCCAATACGCATCCAGTGCTGTCGCTGCTAAGAGAACTCCACCATATGGGCCATTGAAGTGACACCCATCAAGCCCAATATAGCTCATACGTCCCCTCAAATTCTATTTTTGTGTTGGAAAAAGAGCAAAAAAAAACCTCACAAATCTAGAAGTTACAAAGGGATCTTACCCCCTCAGACGATATGAATACACTTGCACCAAAATTCCTCTTTTTTACAACAGTGCATATTAGCCTTTATTTTCCAATGAATATATCACTTAGCTCCTTAACCTTGACTTTTGGGTTTGCCTTAATAAGTCCACCCAATTTATCTGCCACCCATGGTCCATTTGCCAACAAAGGCCTGGCATCGTTTTTAATACAAACATGGTACCGAGGATGCTCCCTGATCTTGAATGTTATGCCATCTCCCATCTTTATTTTTACAGCTTGCCCCAACTCTTTTGGAGTCATTCTTGGCCCATTTTCCATGCCAGCTGAATTCTAAATCATTCACAACGGAACTATTGTCTTGTGTTTTCAGCATGATTTGTCCTGAGATTCTTTTCTCATTGATTTAATTGGATCTTTTAATGCTCTAATAATTTAAGATTTTTAAGCTCTATAGTTTATATTATTACCCTTATAAGGACGTTTATATCATTTAATGTTTTATTATAGGGATATATTAGATTAATGAAAAAAAATATCATTTTGAAGATTACTGAGAATGTTTAGAAAATGTGTTTGGTTGGTTCAAATAAATTAGTGAATAATATGTTTGGTTGGGAGGATAAATGGGTGAGTATATTATATAGATTACCAAATTGGCCTCATTTTTAAATATTAATATAATAGTATTTTTTTATTATTATTTTTTGAATCATTTTTTTTAACCCCCTACATTTGAAATTTTGCTAAAACACCTCAGCCATATAAAACTTTAATTTATAGCAAAATCACCCCCACCCACCCCAAGCCACCATTGCCGGCCGCCACTGGCAATCGACAGAATGGCGCACAACTAGCCGTATATGGCCGATCGTGCATCAGCAAAGCGGAAATGACCATGGATCACAAATCTATGGCCAGAAAATGGCCAGATCTATGGCCATTTCACGGCCATAGATTTGGCTGTGAAAAGGCCTAATCTTTGGCTGTGCCATTTTATGGTCAAAGAAATGCTAGATCTGACCGTTTTCGATCATGGATCTGTGATTTATGGTAAAAAAAGGCCTCACCGGTGCACAATCGGCCAGATCTTATCGGTCGTGCACCATTACGGCTACTGATGCCAACGGCCGACAGTGATCTTGGGTGGCTGGGGGTATTTTGTTAACTTTAAACTTTTTTGTGGCTGGGGTGTTTTAGCTAATTTCTCAAATGTAGGGGTGCTAGGTAATTGTTATTTGGTAGACATTTGAGGACAATTGTGTCCGAAATGGTCTTTAGTTAAGGGCAAAATGGGAAGAAAAATCATATTACCCTGGTAATGTTTTAATAACACCCCCTAGCAAAATAATAAGATTACCCTCCACAGTAACAACAATAACCACTATTTGTAATAAAAGATTACCGTAATATTTAATTTTATTACTTACAAGCCAAACACAGGAATCTTGCAAAATAAACGAATATTACCCCCGTTATCTTATTTACCCCCGATCCAATCGGCCCTTATGTATTATATTATTATATCATTATCCTTGTGTATAGCTTTGATTTTATGTCAGCAAGGTCCTCTTTAGGACAGGTGGAAAGATCACAAAGCTTACTACAAAATTAAATCAGTTTATTGTATTAATGATCCATGTTCAAACGTTTCTTTTCAGTTTTTGTAACCATTATAGCCGGAGTTATGACAACCATTAAAGCTTGATGGCAGCTTTGGCTATAAATTGAAATTTTGGTCCCTAGGCTCACACACTCAACTCAAACAAAATACAATATGTTTGAGAGCTTAGAAGAGCCAAAACGCGAGAGAAAATAGTGAGTGTGTGATTGAGAGCATCAATGGTTGGAGGTAAGTTTCTTGTATTATCTTTAGTTATTTTGATTCCTTTAGTTTGTCAATTTCGCATCTAGGACCAAAGATTATTCAACATTCGTATAAATGGGTATAGTTCTAAGACCCTTAAGGATAATAGTTGGTTTGACAAATTTGAAAAGGTAAAATTGCAACCATGATCGTTCTACTACACGTGTCATCATATGAAAGTCTACAAGTATAAATTAAAAGAGTGAAGTGTAAACTGACTTGAGCTTTGGGGAGGACACACCAACAACCACCTTTACTGGCCCTTTACCAACCTTTTTCTTTTGTAGACCTACCCAATATGCTCTATAAGAAAAGGGCCATAACCGTTAGACTTGGGCATTTGGGATTGGTCCCAAAAACCCGACCCAAAAGACTGGTTCTAGGACCAATCCCTGTAAGGCTTGGTCCTAGGAAGGCTTGGTCCCAAACCAGACCAAGCCTATGGGAGGAGGGACTAGTCCCTTGATCGGGCCCTCCTCCAAGGCCCGGGCTTGGGACCGGTCCCACGCCTAGGCCCAAACCCATTTATTTAATTTCAAAACAGTCCTTTGTAAAATATCCAAAAACCCACTAACAAATTTGAAATTGACAAAAATATTAAGAGTTAAATTGATATTTTACAAAAAAAAAAAAAAAAACAATTAATACAGCACATGACCGTTGGCTGCCAATGGTCATGTGCTTTTTTCTATTCATATTTATATTTATAATTTATTCATATAATTTATTTATATTATTCAATTTTTTCTATTTTTCAATATCATCTCTTATTCATATTATTATTTAATTTTTTTAATTTTAATTATTTATTATTTTATAATAAATTCATAATGGAAGGGCCAAATGAGTTATACATTCCATCAATCGAAGAAATGGAAGGGTTCGATCCATTTTCACCATTTCTAGAGTAGGGCTATCAATCGAGTCGAGCGGCTCGCAACCAGACTCGACTCGACTCGGTTGGAGCTCGACTCGACATTTGTCGAGTCAAGTCGGCTCAAACTCGAGTGCTAACCAGAGTCGAGTTCGAACAAGGGGGGGCTTAGCTTGTGGGCTCGCGAGCCTGGGGTGGCTTGTGAAAAGATGGTTTTTATTTTAAGTTTTATAAACCTAGTGGGACTGAAAAGTTATACTGCATGGTAAAATATTTTTAAAAAATGACATTTACCTGCCTAATTGCGAAAGAGTAAAACTCGATCTAAACCCAAATACACTATACACCCCCAAATTGAATTTCCTCCAATTCCCAATCGATTAAGCCCTAACCCTAGCCCTAAACCTAATTTCACAAATAACAAACCCTAAATCACGACAGCCCTATATCCCAAATCTACCTTGTGCTTGTCGACGTTGTCGTAGACGATCACCCTTGCCTGTTTTTGCCATCATCGAAGAGATTGTAGAGGTGGAGAGGAATTGCGACTTTAGCAATTCACCTCCAAATCGTGAAACGCAATCTTCTCCTCCAAATCGAGCACAAAATCAGCCATTTTAAGTCAGTAACTATCCAAACTCACCATTCAATCTTCATATTGTGGATGTTCTACTCATTTCAGTCCATGTTGTCGTGGGAAAGAGTTTCAATCTTGATAGACCGAAACCCACATTCAATCTTCATATTGTGGATGTTTCTACTCATTGTAGTCTTGTAGAGTGATATACCACCACCAATTAATATGGTCTACAAGTTGAGGGGTCGTAAAAGGGGCACTAAGGGGTAATGGGTGAGAGTTAGTTACAAAGGAGCACTAAGGGGTAATGGGTGAGAGTTAGTTATGGGAATCTACAAGTGGCTAGATAGAATAAGGTTGGTGTTCTTTTTTTATTTGTTGTTTTGTGTATTGTGGTTGGATTTGAATTAATTTGACAGGAGGTTCCAACATAAAGTCAAAATGATTGGTCAGTAAGCTAAATAAAAGGGGTTAACATATCTTACATGCTTAGTTTTGAATGTGTTTAATTGAGAACATTTTATCAAAATCAAATCTAATTATTGTATAATAATGGTGGCAACTTTTTGGTGAATATGATGGGTAGTGGCTAGGTTTAGAATTGAGTTAGGATATGTAGTTTGGAATATTTTAAAGGGCAGTGGCAAATGGCAGTTTCTGCGTTGACTATTTTACATGTTACGTAATATTTTTTTTTGTTTTGTTTTACAAGGGCAGTTTGTGTGTTTCGTTAATGATGGATTCATGTTTTTTAATTATAGGTATGGTCTCCGAAGGCAATTCCTCAAGCACCCTAACCTTGGATGACGTCGACGATACAGTTGCAATCTGAGCAGTTGATTGTCATAACATTTATGGAAGCACAACCACTACTCGTATGAAACAAAGTGTTAGTAGCCCTGAAAATGTAGTGGATAATTAGAATCCAATTTACAAGAAGAAAAGAGCCAAGACGTTAGCAGTGTGGACTAAATTTAGGGAGGTGGTTGTCCCGGGTGGTGCAAAGAAGGCGGAGTGCATCCATTGTAAAACCAAGTTAAAAATTACTGCCACTGGAAGTACTACCCAATTCAATAGACATTTGAAGAGGTGTGTAAAGAGATCAGCTTCCTTGAGGCAACAGCAAATAAATTTTCCCCCTTCTAGCTCTTAGGGAACATCCGTTATCTTGCTTGCTCTCCAAGGCCAATTCGATATGCTTAAGATAAGGGAGCTTATTGCCTATTGGGTGCTGATGCATGAGCATCCATTTACTGTTGTGGAGGAAGAGGGATTGAATAATATGATGAAGTATGAGATTCTTGAGCGGAGTCCGATTTCCCATAACACTTGCAAGAATGACTGTGTGAAAGTGTATAAAAATGAGAAGTTGAAGTTGAAGATGGTATTGAAGGGTGTCAGAAAGATCAGTCTCACCATAGATCTATGGAATTCAGGCGATCAGAAAATGGAATACATGGTGTTGATTGGGCATTGGATTGATGATAGTTGGAAATTGAATAGATGGGTATTGAACTTCGTTCACTTGCCTCCTCCCCGTACTAGTAGGGGTGAGCACGGGTAGCGGGTAGACCCGGAACCGGCACTATACGCATAGGTTCCAGTTCCATTTTATTGGAACCGACACTATGTAGTTCTAGTTCCGGTTCTTATGTGTGGAGGAACT